TCCAGTGTCCTGGTTCTCCACAGAGGTAACAACTTCTATAGGAGCCATAGACTGGTCTGTCTTGTCATGGTTGTGGTTTTCGTTGCTGTTGTTGGGAACGAGCAGGGCAGTCTCTATACCAGTGTCCGACATTGTTACAAGAGAAACAAGCTTGACTAGCCATCGAGAGCAGAATGAAATTTTGTTGTTGTTAGTTAGTTGTATTTTACGTCCGCTTCCACCGAGGTGATATCGCAGACAATAACATGTTATGTATACATGGTGCAATAATTTACAATGTGATTAGTAGAAAATGCTAATGAAATTTTATTACTACTACTACTACCTGGTGCTTTAACGTCTGCTTCCACAGAAGTGATGTCCTGTTTTTAGAATATGATTTTGCAATCTTTCCATTTGCGGCCTTAGGCCATGGAGTAGGTTTAGTGGGAAGTTCTTCCCTTTATTTAATAAAAAACGTATAGTTTGGTTGTTGATCTGTGGAGACAGCATATGCGCGGACATATATGCGTCTCGTTTCTGGATTGGTAGATGTCATCTTTGTGCGTTTAGTGTTTAGGTGCCAGACCCGTCTTATCGTGGCCTCCCCTTACTCCACTGTCCCACTCTGCCGGTTTTGGTGGTTTTTTTTTTTAGTGGATTAGTGTTTAGATGTCGAGTCCGTCTGACCATGGCCCTCCCTTACTCCACTATCCTGCTAATTTGGTTTATCTCCCCTGTGTAGTTTAGTGTTTAGATGTCGAGCCCGTCTAATCGTGACCCTCTCTTACTTCACTATTCTACTTAATCTAACCGTGGTCATTAGATCGTGGATTAGAAATTTTATTCTTATAGTCTTGGTCGTGACGTCACTCTCTTTTGATTGGTTCTTTCTTTTCCTTTGTTTCTATTGGTTCGTGTCTAGTCTATGATTTCCAGGCTTTCCACGTACTTTTGCACCTCTTCCCAATCGATGACGGCTTCACTCACGTGACAGGCCCCCCAACAACGTCACCAGGTCTGCTCGATTACCCTGTTTTTGTCGCCACTGGTTGAACACGGTGAAAATTTGCATGCGCACGTTGTTAGGATGACTCATCTTGGCACTTCTCTGATTCCCAGATGTCTGCCAATACATTCCCAACCTTCTCCCAGATTGCCGGACATGACGTTGATATCCATTTGATCCAGGGACCATCGCTTCATTTTCTTCGGTAACTCGTCCATCCACCGTCGTATGGGATTCTCTTCGTCTTTGGGTTCTAGGAACTCGTCTTTGCCTGTACGCGTAATTCTTCGACCCTTCGCTAACAAATTCCCGAATGATGACATTCTCAGGCAGCTCGTTCTTCCACTGGCCCAAACTGGAACCTTCCGGGGGATTCCAAATAGCATACACGTTCCCCCAACTTTTCCAAGACGGAATAGAATTTCAAGCGCGCCTGGGCGGTGACGAAGGCCGCGATAACTACGATGGTGATGGGATAGCGTTTCTAACAATACCATGTTATCGTTGACTAACTGCACATGTCGCACGGTCTGGGTGACGTCCAACAGTTTCTCAAAATAGTCGCTGGGCTCCGTGATGTATTCGGTCTTGGGAAAGTTGTCTCTCTGTCCGAATTTTCCCCACGCTGTGTTAAGCTGAAGCTTACTAAACGCCCGTATACCTTTGTTTGGTTTTATCGACGTGGGGTCCATGCGAATACCGTCGGTGTCGTACACGTCATTCACGAAGCGGGTCTTGTCTTCTTCGGTGTGACAGGTGTCGGGATAACCGCTACTTTCCACCTTCTTTTTCAGGTAGTGGTTGATGTAACCGGGGTTGCAGGTGATGAATTGTTTCCAGTGCCAGACCTCGTACACCTTCAATACGCGGTATCCCAGGGCCACCGCTTTCTTCAGTTCCAGGGTGACAAACGTACCGACCCAGGCTCGCTGTTCATCGGTGTGATCACAAGGTTGGTATTCGGCAATCTCCCCTTGTTGCATATGTTCGTCGACGCAGCTTCGACACAGGGCAAACGCCAATTTCTGTTTGCGTCTAAAAGGGAGCACCGGGTGGTACAGGCCACGAGGCGGCAAGACCGAACACTGGATCAATCCTTCGTACTGCTGCCAATGTTCTTGATCGGGCTGTGTGACGCTCGTGGGTTCCTTAATGGGAAACGTACCGTACTTGCAGATGTAGGGGTAGAGAGACACCACGTCGATGTAGCGCATGTATTCTCGACCGACTCGTTGACCAACAGTTGGATGGCATTGGTTATCCCGCCGAAGAAAGCGTCGCGGGGCATCAGAGGTTCGGGGCGGGCCATTGCTGATCGGTGTTGTTCCCATTCCAACCATCGAAGTGCTTTGTTGGACTGTTGCGAGGTTGGAAGCGTACCAGTCTTTACCCGGTTTCGGCTCTTGCATCAGGGCTGGAGGAATGACGATGAGGGTGTCTTTTTTTTAGGTAGTGCGTACGTAGTACGCGACTGCAGGCGGAGGCCAGGGTCGGGCTCTTCTCAAATGGGTCTAATCCCGTGTCCATTACAGGAATATCTCGAGAAACACACCGCAACACAGGCGCAAGACATTTACATAGCTTTCACAGTAGGGGAGAATCTCCTGGCGAAAATCAAAGATGTCGTGACGGTGCTGCTCGTATCACTCGTGACATTTCTCTCATTCCGATACACTCATGCCATCTGGATCGTAATTGGTGTCTGGAGGATAGGCGCCCACGTAATCTTCATTCTCCGGTCTGGTGAAGTGGTGAGGGAAATAACCTTTCTTGAGTTCTTGCAGGCCGAAGGTCTTGGACATGTCCCGTAAAGGCATCGGTAAAAAGTTGAGGGAATCGATGAACTTTACCGTGCCGACAGTGATCGTCATCGCTTTACCACCGTTCATAATCACTAAGGGTTGCGCCAGGGAATGTCTGTGCAGCGTCTGTAAAATCAGTCCGTCGTAACCTTTGAAGTTGTGCGCCACGGCGATCACGGGACTCGATTCATGACTGTCATTTATCCGACCATCTACCACCGTACCGTGTCCGTGAGCAGCGAGTTGTAAAAACCATTTTCCCACATCGTCCAGCATGTCTTTACCTTTCAAAACAATTTCTCGCTGGTGATTCCAATATTGGTCGCAGTGCTCTCAGGGTTCTTGGTTGTCGATGCAAATATGACAGCACGTCTGTAGGACACATAGGTTGGGAACGTGCTCACCGGAATCTTGCTGGCATTCAAAGTCAAAGAAGACGAAGCGGGTCAACGTTGTCGATTTGTGTCTGCCTGCCACCGTTCATGTCGATGGGTGATTTTAGCGATTGACAAAACTGCTTTTCAGCCGTGTGCCACTCTCGGTAGATGGAGCACTCGTATTCTCCGCATCGGTGTTCTTCCAAATTTCGCTTGGCTTTGATGACGTCCTACTCCTTCTTGCACTTCTCGCATTTCGTCCACCGATGACATATACTGCACTTGGCTCTGGAACGGGTGGCGAGGTGATTGTCGAAACACTGGCGGCTCATAAACACGCGATGACATCGGTAACAAGTCTTTGTATTGGGATCGGGTGGACAGGGTGGATCTACTTTCTTGCATCCTTGGCACATGATGTGACACGAATGTTTCTCGGCACTATGGTATCCCACCTGGCAGGTCTCGCAAAAATACGACCTTTCCACAAAGGCGGGTGTAGTAGGGTGGTATATTCTCTTTAAGTATTTGGTGTGATATTCTCTTTAAGTATTTTATCCAGTTCTATTGTCCTGTATATCCAGTAAGTTTTGTTTTTCCAGTTGGTATAATTAGTTTAGTTTATAGTTTAAACATGTTATTTTAACATGGTGAGTAGTATTCTGTTACTTAGATACTGTCCTAACATCATGTTTCACCTTTAGTCACTTTTTCTTAGATCTCCATCTTGAAGGCAACAATTTCTTTCTACAGCACTGCATTTACTAATTCGGGTAGGTTTATATTTGTTTAACTTGACTTGACAATATAATACAAGACAATTCCTTTCTAATTTAAATACTGTTTTATTCTCATATAAGTTATAAATAAAATAATACGTGTATAATCAATCTAAAGAAGTAAACACTTATATATACTATTCAAAAAAAGTAGGGGATATTTGATTTTGGGGGCATAATACTAAAATATGCAAATGACTACGAAAAAAGTCACTATAGAACCTAACAGAAGAAACATTTCCAGTTACATGTGACGCCCAAACGCACCAATAGCTACCGCATGGAATGCAGGTGATGCTTGGGATCATCATGGGGGTCCAACCCAAGATTTGCACGACTCTGACTTTGAATGTTACAGTCATTGTGGCATTGAATTCCAGGGTGGAAACATCAGTTTAATTGTTTTAGTGACCAGAAAACAAATTTTGATATGCGTCGGCATTAAACTGATGTTTCCACCCTGGAATTCAATGCCACAATGACTGTAACATTCAAAGTCAGAGTCGTGCAAATCTTGGGTTGGACCCCCATGATGATCCCAAGCATCACCTGCATTCCATGCGGTAGCTATTGGTGCGTTTGGGCGTCACATGTAACTGGAAATGTTTCTTCTGTTAGGTCCTATAGTGACTTTTTTCGTAGTCATTTGCATATTTTAGTATTATGCCCCCAAAATCAAATATCCCCTACTTTTTTTGAATAGTATATTATTCCTCATATTACTGTTCCAGATATTCCTGATATGACCGTTCCTAATATTACTGTTACTGATAATTCTGATGATTCAATTTCTCCACCTGATCCTGATCTTTCCTCTGATGATATTTCACAACCAGTTCTAGCTCCTAAACGACAACGTAAACCACCTACTTGGATGAAATCTGATGCTTGGGTTTTAGAGAATACTGTTTGGCTTTGATTTATATTAGTTGTATCTACTGGTATTTTAATAACGATTTTTTTTTTTTCATTTTTGCATTATTAGTTAGATTATAAATTCCATTATCAGTTGCTTACAGTTTTACTTGATGGCGACTTGGTTTTGTTTATGGATTATGGTTTGGGTATGTGGATTGGTTCATTATTTTTGTAATATATATGTATATTGTTGTTTTTATTATGGTGTACTGTAGACTGTTTAGGGTTGTTCGTGTCGGGACGCCACTTCTTGTGCTGGGGGGATAGTGTAGTAGGGTGGTATATTCTCTTTAAGTATTTGGTGTGATATTCTCTTTAAGTATTTTATCCAGTTCTATTGTCCTGTATATCCAGTAAGTTTTGTTTTTCCAGTTGGTATAATTAGTTTAGTTTATAGTTTAAACATGTTATTTTAACATGGTGAGTAGTATTCTGTTACTTAGATACTGTCCTAACATCATGTTTCACCTTTAGTCACTTTTTCTTAGATCTCCATCTTGAAGGCAACAATTTCTTTCTACAGCACTGCATTTACTAATTCGGGTAGGTTTATATTTGTTTAACTTGACTTGACAATATAATACAAGACAATTCCTTTCTAATTTAAATACTGTTTTATTCTCATATAAGTTATAAATAAAATAATACATGTATAATCAATCTAAAGAAGTAAACACTTATATTTTAAAATGTATGTCTAATTTGGTGTTTGTTTTATCTTTTAGTGTTTCTCTCTTTTGTACCTGTATATGGTTTCCTTATACATTATTAGTTCTAATTCTTCATTTCTTAAGAGCACCTTTATCAGGGTATGTTTCTAGTCAGTTTCTCATTTTGTTATGTTATTTATGTATAATAGTTCTAAATGCTCCATTATTATTACCTGTAATAGGCAATGTATCTCTATATATTATATGATTAGTTATTAGAAGCTATTTCTAAGCTACATCCTTTTTTATATATATTTATTCTTATTTGCTAATTTAGTTATTTTGTCATTTCAGTGCTCTTCTTCTTGTCTTCTACTTGTTCTTCTTTCTGTAAATAATTGGCTGTTTTGTTCCTGTGTATTGTAAATAAACTGTATAGCTGTGTTCCTGTCTTTGTCTCTTTTCGTTCAACCCGCGACCTGGAAAGGGGATAGTCCGTTGTCCATCGATCCTGCTACACGGGCATGGAGGTAATGACGTCGTAATGTCTGTTGTGTAAATACAGGTTCAGATGTTTTGGTGTTCCGGTGACGTATTTTGTTCTGCGATAGATCGCCTTACCAAAGATGGCTTGAGAGAAAACGTTGAGTTGGTATCCATGTTCTCCCAAGCATTTTGTTCCAAGCATTTTGAAGAAAAATGGCTAAATAGAACTGGACAAATAGTAAGATTAAAAGATGGTGCCATTCCAACCATCTTTTTATTACCTACTCATTTACAGGTAAGAAATATCAACCATGGCACTGATACAAACAGTACCGAATAGGGGGGAAGGGGAGTACCAATGTAGGGCACCATGGCATCCATAATCGTGCACCTTTAAATAAACGTCAACAAAATAGGCCTACTGGCTGTAACACTGTGTGCCCATGCATAGTTATTCGTTGAACATTATCTAGCTGGAAAGCATTTTTATTAAGTTCACATAAAGTTCCTGTCATTACGATTTTTTGGTTTCATAACTTGGTTGGTTTCATTAAGTGTGGGTGTGGGGGGCTTTAATCCACACCGGTATTTATTATGTATACACTTAAACATACATGATGCAAGGGCTAAATCTGCCTATTGCAGATCTTTCTTTAGGCCTGAAAAGTAATAGTTATATGGGTTGATACACCATCTCTTTTTTGAGTGGGGCTCCGAGGCGAAGTCGAGAAGATCTCCACTCAAAGAAGAGACGGTGTATCAACCCATACACCGAGAAAACAAGGTATATAACTGACTTTTACTAAATACCTTTTCGAGAAATAGAGATTTTTTCTATTTTTCCCAATTTCAAAAGCATTTTCATTTCACAAATTTATCAAAGTTTCCCATTTAGAGCCCCCCAATTATCTCATCGCAAACGCTTATTTCTACTCAGGTAAATGATGTCCGTACACCGCACGTGCATTTCACGGTTTAAATCAGGTCAGGGAAAATGTTCATAACAGGGATATTGATTGGTTGAGAAAAGCAAACGTCATCCAATCATTTTGTACAATAGCCATTTCTTGTTGTTTTGCCAACATCCTGGCTCCGTCGATTGTAGTGGATGGCAGAAATGAATGCGGGAATTCGTCGAAGAATCATACTTTATAATGTCACAGATATATATTTCTAAGACCGAGAATATCAGTTCTGCAAGAGATTTCTATGATCGCGAAGATTTAGAAGCCTGATCCCTCACAGAACAAGAAATTAAAGCCATGCAGATGAGTCGAATTCCGCCAAACACGAGGAAAAATACCAATTGCATAGGAATATGGTGACACTTCGAGATCAGTACAAAAGATTGGATTTTAACTTTTTTGATAAGCAAGGTACATTTGCTAATTTCCGCACAGATCAATTCATTAACTTCGCGAGGTATTGACATCCACTGACAGACAAACACAAGAACAGCCATTAATTGAAGACGAGTTGGAATTGTAGAGTTCTCAAGTTTGTAGTGTAGAAAATGCCAATGGATTAATTTATACTAGTAATATATTTGGATTACGTGCTGCGGATGAGCATAAACCGCGATAAAATGTGAAAGTTTTTAGTGTTGAAAATGCCAAGAGATTAATTTATAATAGTAAAATATTTGGATTAAGTGCTGCGGATGGACATAAGCCGCGACAAAATGTGAAAGTGTGACAAAATGTGAAAGTGCGACAAAATGTGAAAGTGCGACTAGATATCAAAATGTAAAGAAATGTGAGACAAAATGTAAGAATATGACTGAGAGTGACGCACATTCGAAAAGTGCTGAGATAGTTGAAAATGATGACTCTTTTACCATAACATGTTCAAAACGAGTTGTAGATCTTCAAATAAATATGTAAATCATGATTTTGTTATTTTTGTCCCTTTTCAACTGATACACGGCCAGTTTTCAACTGATACACGGCCACTTTTCAAAAGTGACCGTCAGAAGTGGCCGGGTATCGGTGTATACCCTCCCATTTTCATCAAAGAGCCGAGAAAAAGTATGGGTATAAATTATATATTAGACATTAATTAACTGATCCAGGCCGTAATCAACTCTCGATGGTATTGAATTTCTCTGATATTAAATATATTAGAATGGTTCAGCCATATTTTGATTTAATTTAAAAATGGAGAAGCAGGACTTAGCTCTGAACAACCAGTGCGGTGGTAGAAATTATTGCACACGTCTTGTCAAACCTTCAAAGGCTAATATCTTCGCTCGCAATAGAGTAATTTGAATGAAATTTTCAAATTATTTACTTTACATTATCTATTTTTGAACTATTATAGCAAAAATGGCTAGCTCTTTATCTAAATCTTACATAATGTATCTTTAAGGAATATTTTTAATTTCAGCCGAAACCGATTTTATATAGATCGTCAAAAACATCTAATCGGTCCTTAGAATTAGAAAATGATTCAGCAGAACACATTTTTCCACAAGATGCAGTCACAATTTTACAGGTTTGTAAGTACCTTCATTCAAACCACTGCTGATTTATCATTTACCATAAATAATAATAATAATAATAATATGTACATTTATATAACGCTAATATCTTCGCTCGCAATAGAGTAATTTGAATGAAATTTTCAAATTATTTATTTTACATTATCTATTTTTGAACTATTATAGCAAAAATTGCTAGCTCTGTATCTAAATCTTACATAATGTATCTTTAAGGAATATTTTTAATTTCAGCCGAAACCGATTTTATATAGATCGTCAAAAACATCTAATCTGTCCTTAGAATTAGAAAATAATTCAGCAGAACACATTTTTCCACAAGATGCAGTCACAATTTTACAGGTTTGTAAATACCTTCATTCAAACCACTGCCGATTTATCATTTACCATAAATAATAATAATAATATGTACATTTGTATAACGCTAGTACCCCATGCACAGAGGCATGCTCACAGCGCATATAGTTAATTTGATTAATCATAACATTTCTCAAAAGGATGGGTTTTAAGTCTTGATTTAAAACAACAAAGAGTTAGAGATGATTTAATGACTTCTGGAAGATTGTTCCACTGTTCAGTGAATAAGACATTGACTCCCAGGTTCAATTTTCTGATGTGGTTCCCCTTTCTTTGTCATTGGTGCAGAAGACAGAGGACTTGACAAGAGACAACAGAATGGTTCAGATAGGACAAAGAACCAAGGTTCTGTGTACACATTTGTGTGCGCTAAAAAGACCTCTTGGTGGTTGGAATTCGATATAAGAGTAGGCTGTTGTGCTGCTGTCTGGGCAAAACTTTCCTCTTAACACACTGTATGGCGTATGTCTGTTTTCATTTGCCCAGTCAAAGCAGAACAGTAGGAGGTTAAACCCCATTTCATTTCATTTATGATCAATGTTCACCAATTTGAAAATATTTCTTGTTTACTTCTTAATCTATAATATCAAAAGCTAGTAGGATGTAATGTTTTCCTTTTCCTTTTCTGGTTTCATCATTTTCATATTAAAAGTTCCTTTACCATTTAATTACTGTATGTACTATTATTTTTCATAGGATCATAACTATAATTGTGATAACCCATCAGTGTATAAAAAAAGAACTTTAGACATGCAGGATAGAATTGACGTACTGCAGAAACGTCTGAAAAATACCCAAGCTCGCGAAAGAAGAGCAAGGCGGACTTGTCAAACCTTGATAGACTCTTTAAAAGAACAAAACTATTTAAATAATGAACTGGAAGAGAAGCTCCGAGTTCACAAAGGTACCCATACTTTAGTTGTTCTTCATATTTTCCATTATAAAAACTAATGTTGGATGATTGATAATTTCAATTTCATCTGGCATAAATAAAAAAAATCAATTCCTGTAATACGGTAGGGGTATGGACTTTTAATATAATTTTCAAAATTTTATTTTATAAAACAACAAATTTAATATAACTTGTTCTTGCCTACATGTAAATTTTTTGATATCTTTTAAGATATTCCATGCGAGCTGTTTAAGAAACCCCATGGTCAATACACCGAAGAACAGCGTTATTTTGCATTAACGTTGCATATGTATTCACCAAAGGCGTATGAATATTTTAGTAAAAATGTGCAGCTGCCAGCACCACGTACACTTACTAAGTATGATCATTAATGTAATAAGTAATGAAATAGTAATACAAATTTTGGTCATAAAATTGTGTTTCATTAGTCAGTATAGCACATTTTTTGCTTGTACATGTGTGCTAATTAATAATCTTATTTTCATGTTCAACAAAGGGTAAAATCATCATGTTACTCTCTGGGTATCTAATCATACACTATTGACTAAGCTCAGTTTTTATATTTTTATTTGTCAGATGGTTAGAAAAGATCAAAGCTGAACCAGGTATATCTCTATGCATGTTACAATCATTGAAGGAGAATGTAGAAAAATTCCCAGAGCAATACACTCAGTAAGTATTATTCACAATGTTTTTATAGATTAAATTATTGTTAGAGTACAATGAAAGAAAGAGAGAGAAATGGGGTTTAACGTCCATTTGACACAAACTAGGTCATTTCGGGACTAACATATTCAATTTTATTTCAATAATTCGCTTGCGCGTAGGGGCCTTTAGCAGTGGGAGGAAACCGAAGGACCCGGTGAAAACCCACGGCGTTGGACAGGCGCCCGACGCCTTGTCATAGAGTACAATGAAAGAAAATTATATGTAAATATAACAATTAATAGATCTACATAAACATGATTATATGGTTATAACATAATTAAAAAGTCTTCTTATGATATGACAGAAAACGGATTTTCTATAAATTAAAAAGTTATGTCATTTATATTCACTGATATAAAAATACATGTATTCCTAATATTTACAGCTGCTGTGTAATGGTCGATGCCATGGCTATTAGAAAACAGGTAATCTACGAAAAGCACAGTCAAAAGTTGGTTGGGTACGTAGATCTTGGCACTGGTAAAGATGAAGATGAAGAAGTTGGAAAGGAAGTGCTTGTTGTAATGGCTGTTGGTTTTAAACAAAAGTGGTAAGCCCCTATTGCTTTTTATGTCACTAAAGGATTATCAGCTGAAAGCCAAACTTGCCTTTTGAAAATGTGCCTCCAAAAGTTGAACGAATGTGGTTTAGTTGTGCATGCTCTTACTATGGATGGCCATGCTACTAATATGGGAATGTGCAGAATCCTGGGATGCAACTTTGAACCAGAAAATATGTTGTCTTATTTTGAAATACCAGATCAGACTGATAAGATATGGGTTATACTTGATGCTTGTCACGTGATAAAGCTAGTTAGAAATTCCCGTGAGGCATTGAAATCCATTGTAACACCGACAGGAACTGTTGAATGGAAAGATATTTTGACTCTCAATGATGTACAAAATACTATTGGTTTAACAGCTGGAAATAAATTGTCAAATAAACACGTAAATTTTCAGCAGCAGAAAATGAAGGTAAGAAATAAGTCTTATCTATGCTAATATTTTCATTCGCAATAGAGTAATTACCTCCGGTATCTATCTTCGAACTATTGTAGCAAGAATGGCTAGCTCTTACATATCTTTAATTTAACAGCAATGCTCACAGTTGTGTAATACTATATTTTTTTGCAATCATTGTAGACTTATATAATCTGGTAAATTTATATAAGTATAAAGTTGAAAAATAAATGTCTTGTAATTCAAGACTCCACTTTTCTCCAAACAGCCCTAACTTCGCTCAGAATGAAATAATTTGACTGATTTTCAACATTACCTCTTTTCATTATCTATTTTTTAACTATTATAGCAAGGACTTTCAGCTCTTTAACTAAATCGTAAATAATGCATCTTTAAACACAATTATTTATTTATTTTGATCAGGTCAGTCTAGCTGTACAAACCCTGTCAAATTCAGTAGCTGTAGGACTACATACTGCATTTGAGTTAGGTGTGGATGGATTAGATGGTTGTTCTTCTACAGTACAATTCAATCAGGTAACGTTAAATTTATATTATTATACCAACAGAAATACTGTGACCATACAACTATTTTAAAGATACTTCTGTAGCATATGCAGTGAAAGGAAATGAAATGGGGTTGGAGGTCCTACTGTTCTGTACTATGGCCTACTCTTATATCAAAGAGATTATTCCAAGGAATTATTTATATGCATGCCAATGTATACACAGGACCTTGGTCCTCTGTCTCATAAGAATGACTATACTTTTTCACTAGCCAGGCCCTCAGTTCTGCACGACTGACAAGAGGGAACCACATCAGATAATCCTGATTAACCTTCTTAGCTGAGCCATGGTGACTCCCATATGTAGTGAAAGTTACTGTATTGTCTTGTAACCTGTAGTTAGCATACAATCAATAATTACTTTTGCATGATTTACAGTACTTTGATAAGTTATTTGATGTAATGAATAGTCGGAGTAAATTTGTGCCAGGAATGAAGCAAGCTATAAGCAGTAAAAATACTGTATTGTCCTGTAATGTAACCTTCTTAGCTGAGCCATGGTGACTCCCATATGCAGTGAAAGTTACTGTATTGTCCTGTAACCTGTAGTTAGCGTACAATCAATAATTACTTTTGCATGATTTACAGTACTTTGATAAGTTATTTGATGTAATGAAAAGTCGGAGTAAATTTGTGCCAGGAATGAAGCAAGCTATAAGCAGTAAAAATATTGGATATTATCTCACTTTTTCCTGGAAGTCAAGCAATACTTGCTAACATTAAGAACTTTGAATGTAGAAGGTGATAAGTGTTGAAATGTTTTGCATGATGTTAATGAATGCTTTTTATATGCCCACAAGGAAATATGTGGTTTGATATTGTCATTGCCCCTGTCCGTACGTCATCCACAATTTCTTATGAAATCGCTTCATATTATTTAGGCCTTGTTTCACTTTGTAGAACCTTTTGAACTCTCACTTGACCAAAATAATGATCTGGGGCCGGTTGCTCAAAGCTCTGTTATCTTTTAACGATCCGTTAACATGGAGTTAACGGATCATTAACTTTAACGGAGAGAAAGGTTGTTGCTGGAAGCCCCGTTAACTTTAACGTGTAGTTAACTTGGCGTTATATTTAACGGAGGTGTTGGTCTCCGTTATCTGTTTAATGATGGCATTAGTTGGCTGTAGCAAAAAGTCATAGATTACATTGTACCTATGTAATTTTCTTTAGAACATTCTAGAAGGTTGGGCGATGCGGGCCTATTCCATTTTCTATAGGATGAAATTCTATACTATTTTACAGAATTTTGGTGGCCTGTAGGAAATAATGGCCCCATAATTCTGTAGTGGAAATCCCATAATTTTTTCTACAGATTTATGCTAAAATTTCTAAAGGAAAAAATAAAGTATTCTATGGTGTTTTCTGTAGTAAATTCTAGTTATCCTTTTGTCTTTAATCAAGTTTTGTGAACAGACTGCACAGTTAGTTGTCTCACTGTCTTCAGTTTCTTGTTAATACTAACTTCTATGAAGTTGTTATACATGTACATTGAATTCAAAAATTTAAAATTCAGCCAATGAACAAACAGTATTCTCTTGGATTAACTTTAATGAATCTGTTAGCTAACGGATAATGAAATTGACTTTCCAGCAACAGAAATTTAACGGACCGTTAACAAACGACAAGTTACCAAGATAACGATCCGTTAAACTCTAACGGATCGTTAAAATAACTTAGTTTTGAGCAACCGGCCCCTGATCTTTAGGAAATTGATATTAGTTTCTTTCTCGTTGACTGCATGAACAAACTGTTTGCTGTGGGCAGGGCATATGTTTCAGAAACCTATGTTTTGTATTTTAATGTTTATTTAATGTTTTGTATTGCAAGTAGTAGCTACATAAAATTAATTTCTTTGTTCAAATTTTGTACCTGGGACTCTTATATTAAATGAAACATTACAAATAGGAAACAGAACATTTGTGAGACCTTTAAAAAATCAATTGAGCTTAAATAAAACTAATTTAAAATTGATAATGATGTACATGTATAAGTGTTTACTGCTTATCATTATACCAGGCTAAAAGTTAAACTTAATAAATTGTTATGGTGTTGCTGAAGATGTGTTGAATACAAATATTCACCCACTAGAATATGTATGTACTTATAAGATGAGCCAGGATCACCTAGAGCTATTTTTTAATGCTGTTAGGAGAATGGGTACGTTCTTGATATTATTTTTCTTTTGAGATAAGATTATGCTCATTCATATTCTGAAGGCTTGTTGGTTGAACAAGTAAGGCACTGGATTGCTAATGGTACGAATTACATATTGGGCTGCACTTAAAAGAACCCTTGACAGTGGGGAATTCTAAATAAAAGTAAACTGTAGTGGTGCTATCCGGGAAAACTTTTACCTCATAGCACACTGTATGTCTTCATTAGCCCAGTTGGTGCAGAAAAATAGGAAATTAACCCATTTTAATTCCATATTCTTTTTTGGTTTACAGGTGGATGGAATAATAACCCAAACGTAGTGCAATTTAAGGCTGCCTTCAGAAGGCTAATTTCTCATGTAGGAGCCAGTGCATGTGGTGAAACTGGTAACGTTGTTGCCAGGGATGATACTGCATTCATCCATGCAGCTACAACCTGGTATGTTCCACCAACATCAGAGGCCGAAGAAGTTCAAGACGTAAACTCCGATATCAGTTTTTATTTCAGGTCTTTAGATTCTCTAGTTGACACCATTCTTGTGTATATAAGTGGTTATATTGTAAGAAAAATTTCACCTTAAATTACATGTAATATTTGTAAACTTTCTCTTGTATCTGATAATCCTGAAAGTCATAATTCTTATATTCTTCTAAGTTTAAGAAACAAAGGGGGCCTTTATATTCCTTCAAATGGATTATTGTGTGTTATGAAATCTTCTGAAAAGCACATCAGAAGTTTAACTAGTCTTAAAAAGTCTTCCAGGAAGCTTTCTTCATTAGAATTACAGACCAGGGTTTTAGCAGATATTGGACATCTTGATGTCTTTAATTTTGATAACCACATTTTAGAAACGTCCTGTGGAATCTCAAATCATTACATCGACTTGATAAGATTAATAGTTAATAATTTCTATCTTGTACGCCAGTTCCATATAGTTAAAATTACAAAATTTGTCAGAGAAAGGAGATAGCATAAGGCATAAACTAAACAAAACTGTCTTATTTATGGGACATTAACAGAATCGAAATGGGGTTGATCGTCCTAAATTTCTGCATTAACATGCATGTGTAAGTTATGGTAAAAGTTTGTTGTTATAACAGTTTGTTGTAACTAAACGTCTGTTGTTATTACACGTATGTGTAACTAAAAGTCAAAAGTTTGTTGTTATTACACGTATGTGTAACTAAAAGTCAAAAGTCTGTTGTTATTACACGTATGTGTAACTAAAAGTCAAAAGTTTGTTGTTATTACACGTATGTGTAACTAAAAGTCAAAAGTTTGTGGTTATTACACGTATGTGTAACTAAAAGTCAAAAGTTTGTTGTTATTACACGTATGTGTAACATGTGTAACTAAAAGTCAAGCGTCTGTTGTTATTACACGTATGTGTAACTAAAAGTCAAAAGTTTGTTGTTATTACACATATGTGTAACATGTGTAACTAAAAGTCAAAAGTCTGTTGCTATTACACGTATGTGTAACTAAAAGTCAAACGTTTGTTGTTATTACACGTATGTGTAACTAAAAGTCAAAAGTTTGTTGTTATTACACGTATGTGTAACTAAAAGTCAAAAGTCTGTTGTTATTACACGTATGTGTAACTAAAAGTCAAAAGTTTGTTGTTATTACACGTATGTGTAACTAAAAGTCAAAAGTTTGTTGTTATTACACGTATGTGTAACTAAAAGTCAAAAGTCTGTTGTTATTACACGTATGTGTAACTAAAAGTCAAAAGTTTGTTATTACACGTATGTGTAACTAAAAGTTATTACTCACTGATCAACCATGTTCCTTGTATCATGCCTGTAAATTTAAATGTGTTATAGTTGTATATGGTCCCGGACCTATTTTAACTTGCCTACAGACATGTATCTCGTGGTGAAAAATCTATGCTTTGGAAAATTATATCTATGGTTGTGAATGGAGAAACTGTGCATTCATAATCATTGGGCTTGGTATCTAGTTTCACAAATGTTTTTCACTTGTGTTGTTCACATGTGATTGTGGACACTCTACAGTCTCAATTTCTTTGTCCGCTTTCGATGAAACTTAAATATCCAGTCCTTGGGCTAAGTAGAAAAAAGAGGTAAATTTTGGATGTTTGGGTTTGGTCAGGTTCACTGATTTTTAATTGCCTGGAATGTTAATCTAAACAACATGTCCAACTCGAGTAGCATTATTATTATAAGTTGACAGCTATAAACCTGCCATTGGGAGTATCAAATTTCTAAAATAAAAACCTCTTTTTATAAAAAACATTTATTATCGATGATGAGGTTGATAGATAACAGCTTATGTTTTCGAACAGTTTTTTTTAAATCGAATAAAAATTGTGACTTCTAGAGGGTCCATAAGCTAAAGTTACGGTCCAATACATGCCACCTATATTTCAAGTTTCGTCAAGATCAGATAAAAATTGTGACCTGTAGAATGTCCAGAAATAAATTGTGGACGGACAGGGCGATTCAGTCAATATTCGTATAAAATAGTGTTAAAATAGTTAAAACACTATTTTATACGAATATTGACTGAATCGCCCATGCTAAGTCCATGATATTAAACGTTATGTATACTAAACGTCAGCATGGGCCAAACAAATTCTAATGATTTTCTGATGATTACTTAATGATTTGTTACTCTTAATCAGATTTTAGTGTATTATAAATATTTCATTACCGACAAAAGTAAATATATGCGACAACTCTTGTTGACTACCGGACGATTTTGCTGCTGTGGGCGTATGTTTTGTTGCCTGGCAACCTATCTTTTAGCTTGTAGACCCTCAAGAAATCAGTTTTTAACCGATTTTAAAAACCGTTTAAATACACACTGAGTTCGGATTTCTGAAAATCAGATCGAAAAAAACTTAAAATATATTTTAATATACCAAATATTTCTGTTCCTTTTGATATTCACGCATATCAGACCTAATTTCCCCGTCTTGTTTTCAAATATATTTCATATCCACGCTGTATATTAAATACAAATAGATTGTTTTGGGATAACCTTTCCCTGTATGTAAAAAATCAGTAAATGTTCATATTTTGCACCAACAGTTTCTTTAATGTTAATTGATAAGTTTGTAAATAGTATTGTACCTTGTAGTCACATATGATATACATGTTGGATGGCTTAATAGGCCGTTTATATTTCCACACTGAACCGCTTCTATGGAAATAAATATTCAAAGGTGAATGTAAAGTGCCACTGGCAAGGGTTATACAATGATAATGTGCTCAACAACCCTTGTTTTACTTATGAATATTACTCTCCCCAGGAAAAAGGTCCAAAATCATTCAATTGGTTAACATCAAACTGGCCAATGTCAAAGTATGAGTAAAATAGTGTAAGATATTTTATACCCTGGCTATACATAAGGTGCTATACATAATACATCTCATTAAATAAGCTTATCATTACTTTATGTAATCTTTGAATAATTGAATCAATTTTATTTTCATTATATTAAATTGTTATTAATTATTTTTATTTCTACGTTCAATTTGATTTGTTTCTTTTATTCTCTTATTCATTTTCAATTTGAATTGAAAATCTCATAGAACCTGATCTCAAACGTATATAGATTTTACATTCTAAATATAGAGCTGTGTAATACGACACTTATACAACACAGTCTTCTAAATCAGATAATAATTGGGCTACAAATTTTTTGTCTTTGAGAAGTTGATGACAGGATTCTCTTCAACAAATTTGTATTATCTTTGAGGTCACGTTCCTAAACTTGAAGAAATCTGGCTGATGTATATGTATATCCCAAAGATCTCGGATGAGTTTGATTTAAGGCTAGGTGAAGGAGATGCAATGATACGCTTTACGTCATGGTATAGAGATTTTGCGCCCCCTTAGTTTTTGCATCCCTTGTCAAATAGAAAATGTGGTTTCAATGCAGTTTTCAATACTATAATCATTATGCTGAACCAGTGTCAAACATTGTGGCTCAGATCTGCAACAATTATTGGCTTTTTATTCCACCAGAGGAACCTGTTCATCATGAAAAATAAACTGTTCCAAAAGCCATGGCGCCACATTTACGAAAATATGGGCAAATCATATGACTCCTGACGTTTACACATAATGTCAAATATGTACTAAGTTTGTTGATCCTCCCATCATTTTTGTTCGGTTCTACTGAAACTTCTGTGCCCATCATTCTGCGACTTCTTGGGTTATGGACAAAATGTACGTGGAACACAGTTTGTAGGCTTTCGTTTTTATATCAATAAATATATATTGAATAAATTCGTAAATTTTGTGTTACAATGTATCTTTAATAGCAAAAATTTGTGAAATCAAGGCAGCAGCTTTTTCACGACTTCATTATCTTTTAATTCATTAAAATGCAATTGCCGCAATAAAAGTGGACTTATTCAACATATAAAAAAATATCGTTAATTTAGGCCTAATCTAACACAAGTGTTAAATTGTAAGTATTTAACTGAATATTTTCCCACCAAATACTCTTAGGTAAATTGCACACATTCTGCGCCAAATGTGGCAAATGATTATAATGAAATAACCGTAGGCTACATGCAAGATAATATAAATTGACACTATTTAAACAATTACATTCATTCGAAATTATAAAGACGCAAAGAATAGAAAGCCCTTCGCACCAGATAGCACGAGTTGCAGGGTTTACTTTTCATGTCATACAACTTCCAAGATGGAAAAAGACGTCATTGCTATTCTAGTCTATATTTCTATGACCCCAACGTAGACACTCTCGCGTATCTCAGGGGTAATACTCTTGCCGTGATTACCTCTGACGATATCTTCGTCTTACCTGACGAGGTATTAAAAACACTTCCCAGGAAAAGACCTCCTCCCGAATTAGTGGATACAATCAGACGCAACCGACATAAAGTGCGTCGCACCCTCACATTCTAGTGAGGACAGCGGCCCTTTTCAGGGCCAACATAATCAATGCAAAAAGGGTTGTCTCCCTGTCCGCCTTCTTCTCCCTCTTTCCTTCTCTCTCCTTCCCGTGTGCCCCTATTTCTCTCTAGGTCACGCATGTACAAGGTCAGGTCACGCACCTGCAACGTCAGGGGATCATCCAGTGCAAGGTCAGGTCACGACGAACTAGGTCAGGAGTCATCACCAGATCGCGACGAACTAGGTCACGGGGTCACTCAGTGCAAGGTTACGACGAACTAGGTTACGGGATCATTCAGTGCAAGGTCAAGGTCAAGGCCAAGGTCAGTGCGTAGCTATACACCCTCCCTTACTACTATCAGTATAAAGATGTGTTTGTTTCCAAAGACTGGTGTTGTAGTAATGGCCGTTAGAAATGGAATAAGAGAAGTGTTTTAGTATGTGTGAAATGTTAACTATTGCTGCTATTCAGCCAAAAATCAATTATATCAACACTGTAGAAATTCAGACAAATTAGGCTCCAAAAAAAACCCCAACAGAACAGACAAAGCATCAACAATTTTAACTAAAATGGGAGAGAAAGTCTATGTCAATTTCCAAAATCGCTGATTATGATGTGTGGTTGCACGAGCGGTTGGGCTACTGTTTGATACAGGCACAGACAACATCAACACTATAAAATATCAGAATAAAGCCTACAATTATTACTAATAAGTTGTTATATGATCATGTAAGTGTTTAGCACTATCTAGGCCGGTCTACTACGGATTGCATGTGTTTGGGGCCATACTATATACCGGAAAACAACCCGAAAACACCGGAAAACACCATTTTATACTGAATACCGGAAAAACACTAAATACCGGAAAACATCCTAAATACCGGAAAACACCCTAAATACATGTAGGTAACCCGGGGCCTGGTCCTCTGTGTGCGGTTTTGGACCAAGTGAGCGCCGATGAAGGAATGTCAAGGTCATTACGATGTTCGTTTTACAAATAGCCCCCCCCCCCCCCAAAATTTTTTTTTTTAAAAAAATCCGATTTTTATTCTCTAAAATTTTATTGATGCCTATTATGTTTTGAATGTTTTAAAAGACGCAATCAGTCTACCTCCATCATTGACCATATTTTATTTTGTATTTTAATTTTAGTTTTCAGTAAATTTCAGTAGATTTCAGTATTTCAGTAGATTAAACACTGCCCTCGGAGGGCCCCATTATATGCCGGTTGCGCCGGTCTCCTTATTCTTACCAGTAACGCTGGCATCAGGGTGGTACGAATTAGTGGAAG